GTGTCAGACAACTTTTATCAGGAGGAATTTTATATTCGTAGAATCCATAATCTCATCACAGATTTCCTTGCACTTATGCCAATGAAGGTAAGTGTAATAATGTAGGATGAATAAATAGTAGAAGAATTTTATAAAGTAATTTAAAACTGATTAGCTTTTTGTTTTGGAAATTAATAAAATCTTTTATACAGACTAAAATTTGACAGTAGTTGTATTTCAGCTTGTGAATCAGTTTGCGACTTATTGAATATTTTTGTGCATGATTTGGAAAAGGCACAGTGGAAAATCTCGTTTTATAGATAATTGTGTAGACTCTTAGTTGTAGTGTATAAATGAGCTTCAGCATGGATGCAGGTAAAGTAGGTGAAGTGATGGATTTACGAAACTAATACACAGGCTACTTTTGAGTAGATGGTGCTGTAACTGTGATCCAAAACAGGATTGTAGAGCCATTTCAGACAGTTCCTTCACAGTATGTGCTCTGTGCCAAAGAAGCCATCAAAATGGTGACAGGAAGTAAATGAAGGAAAAAGCCACCTTTTTTGTATGTGTATTATAAAACTGCCTTTTTTGTATGTATATTTAAAAAAGAAGCACCCTAATGGGTCTACACTTGTAATATATTGTACAGTTCTGATACCATATCTCCTGAAAAACATAAGACAAATGGAAAAAGTATCCACAATAGCAACAATCAAGGAGTGAAGTGCTCATTCATTATTTGATGAGTCAGGTATTTTTTGAGTTTCTCCTGTGTTCCAGGTACTATGCTAGGTGTTGTGAAGAAGGGAAATTAGTAGGGGATTTATTTCCTGCAGCAAAGAATTTATAATACAGTTGGAGACATGAGAGATACACACAGAAAAATAGACAGTAACAGTAAGTAATTGAGAAGTACAGACAGTAAATTACAATGGGTTTTGTTAGTCTAAGGATAGCTCACTCAGGACTAGAATAGTCAAGATGTATTTAACAGATAATTTGAGCCTCAGGAACCTTGAAGGACTTGATAGGTTAACATCACAGAATTTTGGAATAAGAAGAAGCCTGCTAATCCTTTCATTTTATGTTTGTGGAAATGAACCCTTAGCAAGGTTAAGGCTTAAAAGTTTTTCGTAATGAGTAGTCCAGATGAAACTTGGATTATGGAATGATAATCATCTGCAAAGATGAAGGCTGAGAGGTATTTGAATAGACAAATCATAAATGGCTTGGTTAAGGTAAACAATGAATTTATTCACACAATTCTGGGATACTGGCTTTTCTTTAATAGATATAGGACTATTTAGGTAATCTGTGTCTTCTTGAATGAGTTTTGGTAATTGGTATCTGTCAATGAATTTGTTCATTTCATGAATTTGTTCAATTCATTTCAAATTATCAAATTGATTGGCATAAAGTTATTCCTCATGTTCCTGTATTATATTAATACTTTTTGTTTCTGTAGGATCTGTGGTGTTGTTTCCTCTTTAATTACTAATATTGGTAATTTGTATCTTCTTCCTCTGTTCTTAATTAACCTGGCTAGAAGGTTTATTGATCTTATTGATCTTTCCAGTGAATCAGCTTTTGGCTACATTCATTTTTTCATGTTTTGTTTTACTGTTATTGGTTTCTGCTCTTTATTATTTTCTTCCCTTTGTTTTGGGTTTAATTTTCCCTTTCCATTTTCAGTTTCTTAAGGTGGAAGCTTGGATTATTGATTTGAAACCTTTTTTCTAGTATAAGCATTTAATAATGCTTTAAAGTTACCGCTAATCAGTGCTTTAGCTGTGCTACACAAATTTTGATATGTTGTGTTTTCTTTTTTGTTAAGTTTAATGTATTTTCTAATTTTCCTTGAGACTCCTTTGATTAATGGATTATTTCACAATATTTGGGGACTTCCAGATATCTCTCTGTCACTGATTTCTAGCTTAATTCTGTTGTGGTCAGAGCACATATTTTATAGGATTTCAATTTGTTGATTTTTGTTTTACGGCTCAGAATATGGCCTGTCTTGGCAAATGTATATATTCTGTTGCTACTCTGTGTAGTGTTCTATAAATGTCAATTAAGTCAAGTTGGTTGATACTGTTGTCTTCCATAGCCTTGCTAATTTTCTGTGTACTTGTTCTATTGAATATTGAGAAAGAGGTGTTAAAATCTTTAGCTATAATGTAGATTTGTCTAGCTGTGATTTTTTTTTTTTTTTTAAGGGAGAAGTAGTTTCGTATTTCTTTTGGAATTCAGTTCACACAAATGTTATAAGGCAGCAATTCTCAGTTGGGGCAATAATTCTCTTCAAAGCATGTTTAGGAAATAAATGAGGCCAGTTTTGCTCGTTTCAATGACTGTAGTGTTGTTATTGGGGATTAGTAGGTAGTTCCAGGGATGCTAAAATGTCATGCAGTGTTCAGGATAATCCAATCCAGTGAAGAAATGTTCTGCCCAAAACGTCAGTCATGTTCCCATTGAATAACACTGATTAAACTCAATTTGTCTGTAGCAGAAAATGCATTGAAGTTTTAAAACATAAATTAGGAATAGTTGTATTGCAGTAAAATTCTTAGCATATTTCATTATGTCACTAAAGTGGAGTAGATATTTAAACAATGTTTTTCTTGTGTGTAGTCATTTTAAGACAGTTACCTAATTTCCTGATTTCATTATTATTAACCCATATATAATAAATTTACACATTACACTGTATCTACTAAATTTAATAGGTGAAACAGCTGAGGAATCGGGCAGATGAAGATGCTCGAATGATTCACATGAGTATGCAGATGGGTAATGAACCCCCCATTTCACTTAGAAGGGATCTGGAACATTTAATGCTCTTGGTAAGCCATTATATTGGAAAGCTTGTCTTTCCCTCCTTCCATTATTTTTTCTCCAACTTTGGAAGAATTTCAGGTTTAATACTTGAAATCCACCAGAGATTTCAATACAAATGTACTTTTTAATTTAAAGTAATTTTCGAGTCATAGGCATTTTCCCACAGCCTTTGCTTTACTCTTTACAGATTGGTGAGCTATACAAAAAGAACGCTTTTCATTTGGAGCTTGCTCTAGAATATTGGTGTCCCTCAGAGCCTCTTCAGCCTCCCACGATCATGGGTTCTTATCTAGGGGTAGCTCATCAGCGACCCCCTCAACGCCAGGTGAGTAAAGACTCTGGTTTCCTACTTTTATACTCTGGTATGGTAATAGAGAGTCTTGAAAACATGAAAGATGTTACTCCCTGAAGTTATTGATGTTAACGCAAATGACCACTAGTGTAACCTTTAGAAATTTACACTTTTCCCTTTTATTTAAGAAAATTTGCAACCCCTAAATTTAAGTTCTGATTTTGTAGCTTATGCAGCTAGCCTTTGTTAGATACTAGATGTGTGTTGAATCATTAGAGGCATAAAGGCATCTAGTTTCTTTATGTATCACTTACTTGAGTATTGTTAGTATTTTAATCTGTCCTCTATAGCTTCAGTCCCCAAACCCCAGGCCACAGACTGGCACTGGTTTGTGGCCTGTTAGGAACCGGGCCACACAGCAGGAGGTGAGCAGTGGGCGAATGAGCGAAGCTTCCTCTGTATTTACAGCTGCTCCCCATCACTCACATCACCACATAAACTCCACCTCCTGTTAGATCAGCTGTGGCATTATATTCTTACAGGAGCGTGAACCCTACTATAAACTGCGCATGCGAGGGATCTAGGTTGCACGCTCCTTATGAGAATCTAATGCCTGATGATCTGAGATGGAGCTGAGGCGATGATGCTAGTGCTGAAGCTGCAAATACAGATTGTCATTAGCAGAGAGGTTTGACTGCACAATAAATATAATGCGCTTCAATCATCCCCAAACCATCCCCCACCCCCGACCCCTGGTCTTTGGAAAAATTGTCTTCCATGAAACCAGTCCCTGGTGCCAAAAAGGTTTGGGACTGCTGCTCTACAGGCATGACAATAACCAATATACATAATTTTTATCAAGTTAGGGAAGATCGGATAGGTATAAGTATTAAAGAAATAGTCTTAGATGTTTTAATTGATGGCAAAATGCCTTTGAGTCTATAGATAATATAGGCAAAAGTCCATTTTTT